AATTGCTAATTACTTTTTCACCAGGAATTACCCAGCTCTGCTCCGTGTAAGCCAAACACAAGCCTTATTGACAAATACAACGTGTCTGCAACGTCCATAATTTTCCAACAAATCAAGCCGAATTTAGTTTATACATATTTATATAGTTTTTTCAAGCGAAACATGGAAACGGTTGAAAACCAAAAAAAAGCTATGAGCCAGGAATATCCGATTTAATAATTTAATTAACTGACAATTTTATGCAAAGTAAACTTATTTTGTATAATAAAATTTAGAAAATTAATTTAATATCGTTTATATTAAATTATATTGTGTCAAAATCAGTAAAATCCAGTGCATTTAATTTCCAAACTAGCCGTATCCACATTTTAGTTTCCAAGTGAGCTCGTCACATTTAAATTTGAAATTTAAATGAAACGACGTATTTGTGATTGCTTAAAGCTTTTTGTCGATTTTCCCGTCATGTCTCCCATATAATACAAACTAATCCAAACCACAAATAGCCTCGGAAGCTGCGTAATCGCTTTTTTGCGTTTTATGTAAATTATAATGAAATGGATTTTACCGATATTGAAATTAGACTACTCATATATAAATTTAGCTATAATGTAACGGAAATCTCAAATTTGATGTGTGGAAAAAATGTACTTTCCACAATTTGCAACACTAGTGCCTAAAATACAATATGATTGTTATTTGAATGGAATTTCACGTGAAAATATGCGTGGGGGGGGAATCTTAACTTTCGAGGGAGGAGTTTCGTTGAACAAATCTAGAGCATTTAAAAGTTTGTGTAAAATTAGTAGATTACCATGTAACCGAGAAAAGTCAGTAATATTGTTATTGTTTGCAATTTGCGAACTTGGCGTTACTTCTCTCGAGTTACATTTTTACATATTATGTCCAAAAAAGCGAAATTCGCCAAAAAATAGAGAATTTTATAACTATGAGAATTTACTTTTATTCAATTACCCTCACTTTATAAGAGTGGTTATCAAACAATTTGCTAGTAAACAACTTCAGTAAACACTGTATTAAATACTTTCATGAAAATGCAATTTTGTGTCTGAATTTTAAGCGGGTTGATTAAAGTTAAAATTATACATTCTGTAACTTCACTCCATACTTCAGAAGCATAACATAACCTTATTTACTTTTTCAAAAATACACGAATGGTGCTATATTATTACGAAGTTTTAACATAATTTTGTTGTTGGCCAAATGAACATACATATAATAGAATTTTCTACAGATTATATACAAATTATTATAATTTTTTACATTTAGCAGGAAACTTTTTTAGGGACGTTTATTAAATTGTATTGATAGGCGTTTTTATACATGTTCAAATGACATCGGAAAGACTATACTATCTATAATTTTTAATTCCTGCCTTGTTCATCTAATACACTAAATACCTCCATTTAATTCGATCAATAATTAGTTGTTTCTCACAATTCCATTAGTTACAAGAAAGAAGGTGTGCAAAAAGCATGCAAGACTTCATCTGGTGAGAATTTAGTCTTGTTTTAAATTAGATTAATACATTTTAGTTACACCCAGTATATGTGCAGTGTAGAAATTGGATCTGTAATTTTGAGGTAAGGTTTCTAAATATGAGCACATTTAAGGTTTTTTTTTAATTATTTTGAGCTCTATTTATGTTCTACTTATACATATATATTTATAAAACTATCGAATTTAAAAGCTCTTTAATTTTTTGTGAATTTGAAACACAGTCGAAAAAATAGATATACTTTTTTCAGGCAAAAATATAAATAGAATAACCTCAGGAATAACTTTCAGAAACTTCTGCAAGTACCTACTGAAGAAGCTGTGTATATGCGTGCATGAAAAACTTCTTTGTTGAACTGAGCTTCATCTCGCAGTAAAAAGAATATCGAAGGTAAAGCAAAACCGTTAGATACAACTACAAGAACATGACCACGTTCTTTCAGAGCACTCGCCAATGAATGTTCCGATGAGCTGTTATTATTAAATAATTATCTAGGAACGCTGAGATAAAATAGATTCACCGTACTTCCTGTAATAGGTAAACAAATTATTGGCTAAATAAAGGCAATTAAATTAGGTACTTATCCTGCATGCTTCTAGCTTCTACGACTACCAATTTATTTATTTTATAAGTCAAAGTAATCCAATTAAATGGTGTCGGTTTCGACGCTTTCAAATTGTAGCAAGGCTTTTAAGAAACCTTATCAATGAGAAAAAAACTCTTGAGGTTTAAAGTTTAGAAGGTTAAAGGCACACGAATGTGAAATTGATGCACTTTGACATTTATCCTCCACGAGTCAACGTTTGAGAAGATTGAATATAAAATATAAAGTGCGTGTACATACAGGGTGTGGCGTTTATAGTCAACAAGGTTCACATTCCTGTCGATAAAATAAGGGAAACCGTATAATTATTGTATCGTAGTTACGAGGATATAATAATGTTGGTCGTGTGTCAATTCATAACACTAGAAACAGGCCACACGCATACGTAAGGAGCATCGGCTTCCTGCACTAAAGCTTTTTTTATATTTCATTTTATCCGTGCTGAACTATTATTTTATGTATTTAATCTTTTGATAAAATTCAACCGATATTTGAAGTATCGTATTCTTTTCCTAAAGTTATTTGTTACTAAGTGTAATAAATTTTCCCAACATTAATAGTTTTAAACTTCCCCGGCTTCCATGATTTCCGATGCAGTGGGAATCCTGTACTCGTATGAATGTAAAATAATGCAGGGTTTGCTATGTCTACAGGGTGATTCACAACTTATCCAAAAAAAAATGGAAATAGATGCGGCATGAGAAATGGAGTCGACATCGTAAAAAAATTTTTTGTAAAATCCTTATAGTTTCCGAGAAAAAAATTATTGAAGTTATAGTACATTCAACCACTACATAGCTGGACAACTGTAGTCTCTAGCGCCATTGTAATCGGATTATTCAATCGTCGTTGCGATAGTATTTACCTGTTATCCGTGGTGTTTACAATAGTTTTTTAGTGGTTAGTGTCAAAAATGGGTAGTTAGTGTCAAAAATGGTTTGCATGCATAGCAATTCGGAGTTGATGGATATCATTTTAATTTATGGCGAAGCATTTGTGTTATGGTGAAGCAAGACAACAATTGTGTTAGTTCGTAGAAACTGAGTAAGACAGACCCAAATGTGTTTACACGTTGGTGGATAAAATTTTGAACAATTGTTGTAACATCGGGTATGTCAAATGATTTTATTATTTAAAAACACAAATTAATTTTGTTAATTAATAAAGGCAAAAGCAGTTGAATTTGCTATAAAATTCTATTTGCATATTTCTTTCCTTGCGGAAGTTTTTGTCCGTTTTTATCACACGGCCATGCCGGTCGCATTGTGCGAGGTCAGGTTTTACAGTGGACCAATTTCCAGTGCCGTGCAGAAGTGTATTTTTAAATCATTTTCGAACTGCCCTTTTTGATTTTTTCTTTACAAAACTGTATTTATAAAGGTCCCTGTACATCCAGATTTTTTTTTGTGGATAAATTCTGAATCACCCTGTATATTAGGCATGTGATATTATATATTCTCTATGCGTGGTATCACACCGCGGTGTCGTCGAAATTAAGTTAGGTATTTACTAAACCAACCTTTGGTACAGAGGTTGTTAATTTTATGTTATTCAATTCAACAAAGCTTTTGGCGTCGCCGATAAAGTGTGTTTAATATGCTATGCTGAACATTCCGGGAATATTGTTATGTAATTCTTTGAACGTCATGTACAGGATGATGCTTTTATCGAAGAAACCTTGATTACACAGGGTGTTCGGAAACCATGAACAAAAAATATGTAACTTCACTAAGACATGTCCGACCAAACTCCTTATTTTCATCTCCCTTTCCAAAACTCTGTCGTCGCGATCAAGACCAGCAATCTTTTATCGTGTTCCAACGAATAGTTATTGAGCATACACTGTATGCATATATTGTAAAAGTCGGATCTAGTGAAGATCAAAAAGGCAGGCCGCTGTGGAAGTGGCAAAGACAGGAGATCTTAATACTAAGGCCGTTTTCACACTGGCCGACACGTAATCACATATAAATAAATGGTCATGTTTTCACACTTGCCGAGATATCGGTAACGTGTCGTGACAGGTAACGACGTGTCGCCGAGCATCTTCACTCGCGTCGTCGCCGATTTTTTAAATATTTTTATTCGATTTTTGTTAAAACTAACAAAAATAGTCGGTTTGAAATACGATATAGTAACAATAATTGAATTAGTGGAAGCCTTGTATTTGGGATAAAACCAATGAAAATAATAAAAACAAAATTCTTCGGCACAAAAGTTGGCTGAAAATATATCAGTATTTGGAGGATGGATATAAACGGAACACGGCAACTACGTGTGTCGTGTCGTTGCATACAGGGTGTTCCACCTAAGAGGGATTCTTCTGTAACTCTGTAGCTGTCTAGCCTCATTTAGAGAGCTGAAATCGTGTTTTTTTTCAAAAACAACTTATTATCTCGAAAACGGTAAGTTTTAAACACCATGTAAATTTAATAAACTCTACCTAATATTAACCAAATTAAAAAACGCAATAATATACAGAGTGTTCCATTTAAAATAACAAAGTTACCTTGAGTTAGCCTTGAGTGTCGGTATCGGTGCTGTGCTGATGTCGTGCCGGTGTCGGTGTCGGTAAATGTGAAAACGCCCTAAGACAGGTGCCTTCTGCGCGAATATTTTAGTTTCGAAAATTCACCACACTTTCCAATCGGGACCACGAAGCGGGAGAGTCGAGGGGGATGTCCCGAAGAAATTTTAACCTCACTTTCCAAAATATCAGGTTTTAGACCGACTTGATCACGTGTTTTGCCGTAAGCCTTAATGCGTTTTAGGAACTTAGTAGTATTATTTTGACGAATAGAATTATCCTATAAAGTTTTTGGTCATGATTTCCGGACGCCCTGTATATATGTTTATTGAATTATAGAAACGTAGACTTACCTATACACACTTTGGTCGTAGTACAGCAAAATTCGCAAAGACTGGTCGATGTTTCTTTTTTTCATAACATGTTCGGGTTCAATTCTCGTGTGTAAAACCTGAAAATTCATATATTTAGTCACAAAGTACTTAATCAAGCAAATTTAAAACAAAGCAACACGTTTTCCACAAGTAAGTTCTATAATTGGTAATTTTCCGTAAAAAAAATGCATAAGTTTCAAAATAAACATTCGATTTCAAACAACCCAACTGTCATGTTAATAAAAGTATTAAAAACCTTGGATAATAACGTTGACTCCTAAAATGTAAGAACAGACGACATTGATACTACAAACACAGAAGAATAAATCATTCTGCTTTCTTATTGCAATTATAGACCGAAACTAATATACCTGGCCACGTTCTTCAAGGCTGGCCTAGATCTTATCCGGAAATTTTATTCCATAAATAATAAATATAACCTGAGTTTATAGTGATTTATCTTCATTATTGCGAATGATATTTATCAAATTTTCTCGAACAGTGAAGGAAAACTACAAAATCATTTTATTCCTTAGCCTAAAAGTTAAAGAAATGATATGGTAAAAGTATTAGACTGTCACAAACAGGATGTGCATTCGCTTAAGGCATCCTTTAGTCACTAATTCATACGGCATTGGAATTTAAAAAATATAGGCCTTTTATAAAATTAAATGATCTTTTATTTATTAGGACTTCCTAGACATGAAACACATTTTGTGACAAATTCATAGCAATTAAAATTAAACAAATGAAAATCATTTGGTACTAATTAGATTTTAACGCGGCTATTATTGTTAACAGCTTAACAACAAAAACTTCATTTTAGTTAAATGACTAATTTTTTTATGAGAAATAAATTGAAATCTAGGAAGTATGCTTTGGTGAAACAGGAAGAAATTCTTAAATTTGCAAGTCTTATGGCGGAAATTCACACTTCACCGTTTGTTTAAAAACTCCAGGAGAAAGTACGTCCTCATGATTTTCTCAACGTGTCTTCAGTATAATATGGCGGTACCACACATGGATATATAGGTACTAAAGTATCTCATTTCACAGAATTTTTTAAACGTCCTTACTTTTCTTATCTGTGCAAAAGAAATAAATTTTATTTAATTTCATTCCATATAGGAGTTAATGTTAATTAAATAAATCAGTTAGGAGAGTATCCTGTGTCAATTATACCTCATTATTTACAGGAAGCTTACTGCTAAAAAAGGTTACAGCATATATTTCAAATTATAGCTTATTTGGAAAAAATAATAATTAACTATAATTTGAACCTTATAACTCGAATACAGCGCATTTCTGAACCAGGGTTTGTATTTGCTTATTTTTACCTGAACAATATGTGCCCTTCCTTGAGGAACACCCTGTATATTTAACTAAGACCTAAAGAAAATAGTAACAGTTTCGATTAAAAATTAAAATCCAATCAAACCTAACGTTGTTTTGATGAATCGCCTTGTTGGAACTATTAAACAATTTATTAAAAGTTTTTCAATCAGTTGCGGCTTTTAATAGAACATTAAATTCATTTAATCTGTTTATTAATACTGACACTTCCTTCTTCAAACATGTACGAGCAAATATGTCTGACGAAAGTAAACCATCGACTGACATTTTCTCGAGTTGTAAAAAATTAAGTACTTCTGTGGACTTACTAATCTATTTTATAATGATAGTGTTTGTCAATAAAAATGCGACGTACCTCAGTATTCAGTTATTATGTTGACCTTGTCCTTTACGTATTATTATTATTAATAATTCAAACGAACTGCACGTCCGAGACAGACAAACAATTTTAGAATAAAAAACAATCGGGAATTATTAACTACTTTTCGAGAAAAAACATTATTTTATCGATTGCCTTCCGCGATTGATTGGTATTTTGAATAGGCATTGGAAACTTTGTGACGACAATCAAATAAATGAACAGTAGTATAGTCTTTCCGATCTCAATTGAAGACCAAAGAGTTTGGCGGTATGTACCAGGTTCGGTTGCTACGCAACAACTCGACATCGAAAAACTTGTTCCCATATTTATTTAGCCATATCTATACACAGGTCTGGTCGTCCAGTTGAAGAATGCGCGCGCGGGCAAACGGCAAACAAACACAGCCATAAATTTCAGTTGTCGACAAATTGCCTAGCAATGCGGAATTTGGTGTGATTCAAGTAATTTTAATTTATAATAGGCACCTTCTATTAATCATTCATATTACAATTGCGAAAGGGTGAAATAAAAGGGATATTTTGTTTACTAATATTATTACAACATGACATTTTGGGGACCTTTTGAAACGGAACAAAACAAAATTTACCTGTTCTATGTTAGCGTCTCACTTTAAATATTTACGATTGTTTAAAAAAGGAAGAAAATGAAAAACCAGATAATGAAATTATAAATAGAATTCGCATATTAACTAAATTTTCTACCACAATTTTTCGTGTTATTAAACAAGGTGTTACAGATGCGTAAAGGGGAAGCGAAAACAAAAATTTAAAAATATCGATCACATGACGAACATATAATAGAAATTTTCTGAACATTGTATACAAATTTTTATTATTAATTACCTTTAGCAGAAAACTTTTTTAGGGACGCCCATGAAACTCATTAAATTTTATTGCTAGGCGTTTTTATACATGTTCAACTGACTTCGGAAAGACTTACAATCTATACTGTGCTGGCAAGCGGCAATACACTTTGTAGTAGCAGACATAGGCTAAATCTGTGTTCAAACAATATAAAATGCTGTTGACTGCCACATAAACACGTGCCTAAAAAAAAGTCGGGAACTAATGTTGAGTTATGGGGAAGAAAATAATAAAATGTAAATTGAGTAAATAATATTTAATTAGATTTTTATATAGCTTTTATAGCGTCACACTTTAGTAGACTGCATACAGACTAATACTTAATAGAACAAAGATACTTTGGTTTTTATATAAGCATTTCTGCTGATCAGCGTATTTAGCCACAGCGTCGGCTTCGCTGGAGTAAGTTTAACTTAGGACTATAAACACCATTAACACGAGCTTAGTATACAGAGTGTTCGACTTATTTTATTTTGCGTTTATCCAATACGCCCACTCAAAAAAAATTGGTCGACACTGTCGTAAGTGTTCTTGTCCACACGTGAAGGTAAAATATGTACGTGGAACTCGGGGGAGAGGTGCCTAAGTTCTGGTCCAACATTTGTTGCATGGATTGGGAAAAACCCCCTCAAAAACCCAATCAGACCAGGGACTCCAAAACTTGTTCCAAGCCCATTTGAGTTCGAAATTCAAGGAACTTTGGAGACGGAAGTTGTTTCGTAAAAGTATCTGCCAATTGCTGACCTGTAGGAACATAAACAAGTTTTACTTTCTTTTGTTCAACCTGCTCTCTAGCAAAATGATATTTTATATCAATGTGTTTTGAACGCTTATGACATGTTGGATTGTTAGCAATAGATATACAACCGTTATTATCTTCATAAATGGTTATAGGCTCTGAGAGGTTTATTTTAATATCACTTAAAAGTGAGTTTAGCCACAAAGCTTCTCGCACACTTTCAAAGAGTGCCATGTATTCAGCTTCAGTAGATGAAGCTGCAACTGATTTTTGTCGCTTTGTATTCCAACACACTGTATTAGTTTCAAATAATTGAAAAATGTAACCAGTTGTGCTTTTTCGATCAATTTCATTGCTTCCCCAATCAGAGTCTACAAAACCAATTACAATATGGTTATACGTACTGCGTTTGTACACTAATCTAAGGTCAAGCGAGCCTTTAATATACCTTAAAAGTCGTTTCAGGCATTGCCACAGCTCTTTATTATTTTTATTTTGATACCTGCTTAACAAATTGACTGCTGTACATAAATCTGGTCTTGTACATAGCATTGCATACATTAGACAACCAATTAAATTTCTACACGGTTTATCACAGGTTTCATCCATATTTAAAGCAGTATAGTTTAATTTACTAGGTAAAGGTGTACATACAGGTTTGCAGTTACTCATACCAAATTTATTTAAAACGGTTTTTAGAAAAGAACTTTGGTCTAGTGTTATTTGATTTTTGTTTCTTTCAATTCTAATACCAAGAAAAAGTTTTAATTCTGATAAATCTACCATCTGAAATTTATCCATTAAATATGTTTTAAAATTGGACATGGTGACACTATTTTGTGTAACTATTATTAAATCGTCCACATATAAAAGAACATAAATATTTTCTCTAATATGTCCCTTATCTAGACAATATAAACAACGGTCGACTGAAGAGCTTTTAAAATTATGCTCTTTCAACACTATGTCAAAGCGTTCAAACCAACATCGTGCCGATTGCTTTAAACCATATAATGATTTGTTTAGTTTACAAACTTGATCTGCCTTTGCTTTTATTCCGTCGGGTACTCGCATATAAATTTCTTCTCTTAATAAGCCGTTTAGAAAAGCTGTCTTAACATCCATTTGATGGATTAATAAACTAAAATTGTTTGCAAAGCTTACAAGAATTCTAAATGTTGATATGCGAGCTACGGGTGCAAAGGTTTCGTTATAGTCAACTAAATGTTGTTGACTAAATCCTCGAGCAACGAGCCGAGCTTTGTATTTATTTGGATTACCAAAGATATCATTCTTTATTGTAAACACCCACTTACAGTCAACTATATTTTTATGCAATGGTTTAGTTACTAAGGACCACGTTTTATTTATTAAAAGAGAATTTATTTCATCGTTTATTGCTTTTTCCCATTGCTCTCTATCGTCTCGGTTTTTTATGTCAGAATAACTTTCAGGCATTTTATAATTTAGTGATTGTGCACACATAAGATAGTTATTTATATCCTCTTCGGTTTCATCATATGATACGACTGGTAATGTTTTAAGTCTTTCACTTCGTCTTAAGTCAATATTTACGTTTTTATTTCCCGATTGTTCAGTTGAAGAGGATATATGTTTATCTTTATTAAAAATTGTAAATTCCCCTGTTTCAGTGACAGGTATTTGTACCCCTGCTGTATTCACAGGTTTTAGTTCCCCTGTTCCAATGACAGGTATCTGTACCCCTGTTGTAGTCACAGG